ACTCTCCTAAAATCTTGTTTTGAGATTTTGTACCATTGTTTTTATTTTTTTTCTTTAAAAATAACTGATGTCAAAAATAAATAAATAAATAAAAAGATTTTAATAGAAAAGAAAGCATAACATCAGTATAGGATATTAAGGGGAAACCCACTCAAACTCCGTATTCTCAATTAAATTCCTTCATTTATCATACCAATTAAACAAACCATAGTTTGTTTATTATATAAGAATTAAATTCCTGGTAATTTTGGAAGACAATTCTAGGATTAACTATTTGGAATTTATGCTAAGGGCCCACTCAGTTTCCCCAAAAGTTATTTTTTCACTTATAAGAACCCTTTTCTTCTTTCTTTTCACTTATTAGTATGTTACGTGTCATAGTTCTCAAATGCTAGCCATTCCTTTGAGGTATATTTCTTTATGAACTTCTATGTAGGTAACAGTGCATACACTTACATAAGCAATCCACTTTTTTCTCCTGTTAATGCATCACTGTCAGCTAATTAGCAGGTCCTTAGGAGTTAAAGAGTAAGCTTTCCTAACATGGCAAACAAGAGAAAGTTTCTTCTTTCATAAACTTATACATTGAAGATTGGTATATTTATGCAATAAAATTTCAAGTAACAAGTACAATGAAGAAAAAAATAAACCAAGGTAATAAAATAAAGAGCAAAAGAAAGATCTACTTCACAGAATTTACTAAGTATTAGAAAAATTAGGCAGAGCAATGAGGTTCCATATTGTCAAATGTGCTAAATAAAGCAAAGCATCCTTAAAAATATTTACTAACTAGAAAGCTGAAATATTTTTAGGAAGGAATAAAGTCACTTTTGCCAAAAGAATGCTTTCCAAAATAAACACAAATGATATTTCAAGAGATGAACTGTGGCACTTTTGGGGGTAGGGGGACTACCATCAAGGAGTATTTAAAACTGTAAATTTACTTAAGGCTACCGAAATGACTTAACCAAAAAATATAAAGTACTTACTATGTGTCAGATATTGTGTTTTTATCTATGGTAACTCCTTGTAACTATCCTGAAACATAAAGTACTGTTATCATCCTAACACTAAAAATGAAGAAAGTGAGATTTTGGATGGTTAGGTAATTTACCCAATGCCACTTACCAAATCAGACACACGTTTATATATCACATGTTTCCTCTTACATGAGAAATCCAAATTATAAATAAAGATAATAGGAAGTAGAGAGATAGATTTTTCTTAAACAGCAATGGGATCCAGAGATGGAGGAAAAGGGATGAAAAAAGAAATTAAGATGTGTTATGTACATGTACTACCTCCCTATAAAGACTGAAAGCACTGTGTGCTGTAAACATGGACTAATAAAAGTTAAAACTTAAAGAGTAACAGTAAGAACTACAATGTTCTAAAACCTACTATACAATGAGCACTGTGCTAAGGCTTTTACATATTTTAATCTTTTTCAATCCTCAGAGAACTTTACAAAGGAAAACTTAATCTCTACTTCACACACAAGAAAACACAGGCTTAAAATTAGTAACCTACTCAGTACCACATAGCAAATGTCAAACTTGAGCCTCAAACTCGGCACTCTCTCAAGGCTGCCTTACAGTGCCTCTGGAATGGTGCCAATACAACACAAGCCATACTAGGACCACAAAGCCATCCCTGACTGCTCTAAAATAATGCTAGCTTATCAGAACTCATACAAGAGTAAAATGTGTTTGCTTCTATAGTGAAAATTGGGGGGGAAATGAATGAGGAACGTAAATTTAATTTTGGAATTTACCTGCAAATGATTTTTCTCAGAAATTTTATTTGGAGGGCCGGCCAAATAGCTCAGTGGATTAAAGCACCTGAAAGCAGGTGCAGGGGCCCGGGTGTGATCACTGGGCCTGCCATGCTGGCCCTGGCCCCAGGGCACACTGAGATGGCAACTGAGACTGGGCGTGGTGGCGCGCACCTGTAATCCTAGCTCTTGGGAGGCTGTAAACAGGCGAATCACTAAGAGTCAGATCCAGCAGTAAGACCCTGAACACCCTGTGGACCCTTCCCTAAAATACAAAAAAGAAAGAAAGAAAGAAAGAAAGAAAGAAAGAAAGAAAGAAAGAAAGAAAGAAGGAAAGAAATTTTATTTGGGATCCTCTAAATACGTATGAGGTGGCAATGAAAAAAATATGATGTAAAGATAGAGAAATGTAAGATTTGCCATGCTTACCTAATTACATCAGATCATGAGGCAGTGTTTACAAATGGATTTGAAGTTTATTGAAAACACTCAAAAAAATAAGAAATATATACATACATCACCACCTGTTTGCTTTTTCCTTCAGTAACACTTAGTTTTACAACCTAACTGAACAGCAGAAAGGAGTAAGCACAACAGTCTTAAGAAAAAGAAAATTGCTTGTACCTGATCTATGAGTCGCCTTATCAGAGGCAGTCCTTCTAATGCTGAACTGTCACATCCACTGGTCAATACGCGTTCAAATCCCAAGGCTAAGAGAGTCTCTAGTGCTTCCATTGGATCATTAACCATGTCAAAAGCTGAAACAAATTTTGAACAAATGTGCAAAATTCAGTGTTATGTACTTTACATATAGTGGTATACTGAAGCCAAATTACACTGGCTTGTAAAATAGGAATTGTACAAGTCAGATTATTAATACACTGACATCTTGAAATTAATTAAGATGGAGTATATAATCTACAGATCAAAAAACTACAAATCCGAGCTCTTTTTTGCCCAATTGCCAGTTCATCAGCACAACACAGCCTGAAGACCATTAGTATATATACAATGATTTTATTAATATACATTTTTAAAGAGGGTATTGGTATATACTTCAGGCTGTTTTTGAAGTTACTAGATAGTTCATACTGCTCTTGAACTAACAATGACACTTCTGTCTCTGCTTCCAGAGTGATGAGTGATGGCGCGCACCACCACAACCAGCTGGGTACAAACTGTAACTGGTCTGTTTACTTACATGCACATAAAAAGTGAAGTTTCTAATTCTTCCATAATTATAAAAGTTTTTTCAAAAGTACACATAATATTTTATGTAAATAATAGTATTTAATAAATGTGTACAAGGGGACATTCAAATATAAAATTGTTCAGAGCAATAGGTAAATGACCAAATATGGGAAGCTGCTCTAAGACTTCAGACAAACTAAATGAAATAAAATAAAACATTTTACTCACTAGCTCCAGTAAAAACATTTGTTCACATTCTCATTATTAATGTTCCATACTAATCCATTTACCTGACATACTTAATATAAGGATAACTGTTTATATGAAGTTTCAATTCCATCCTACTTTCTAAGAAATCACATTCCTCAGTAGAGAGAGAAAAGCAGTCTAATAATCTCAAAACAGAAAACCTTTGGTGCTCAGCGCTGCTACATGACACAGAAGTTCTAATCTACGTTACTAGAGGTTTTCTGGGCAGGCCCCTTGTCACCCTTTAGCATACACAGGCAGCAAAACCACTACAAAGGCTTTTTATTTTACACTAGCAGCACTTTCTCACTAGTAATTACACTATCATACTATCTAATTAAATAAATAAATCCAAATTTGTAGATTGGGACAATGCAAAACTCCTACAAAGCATGGAAATATTTTTATTAAATTTACTGGAGAAAAGAAAATGAATAGAAATTTGAAGTCATGTTCTAAGTTTACAAACAGAAAAAATATATTTTATGGGACTGATTGGCTTTTAAGTTATTTGGCACATAAAAGTTTTAAACTATACATTTTTCAGGTAAATGTTCAATAATTTAAACTTTTCATGTTTAAACTTTTTGCTTTTATGTGGCTAACCTCACGATGCTCACATTAAACAACCTAAATCTTAAGTTATTTTTAGTTATAAGAAGCACTGCCAATATCAAGTCAAAGAAAACATTTTTCTGGTCATGCCATACATTTCAAAAGAAATAAAGATAACAAATATTTTATCTCTAACTTCTGTAATCAGATACTGATATGTGCTCTAATATCTGAATACTATTCTAAAAAGGGAAAATAAAGGCATTTAAAAACTTTTTAAGTATATAACCAAGGAAAAAAATGAAAAATTTTGACCTTTCATGTGAAACACCAGTGCAAAAGTGACACCTGTTTCTCTACTTCAACAATCAGCCAAAGCATCATACCACAGCCATATATACCCATGTTCACAGCAGAATAGTCTGTAATAGCTAAATCTTGCAAATAGCCCAAATGCCCATCAACCAATGAATGGATAAAGATGTGCTTTTCTATATACATAATGGAGTACTACTCTGCCATAAAGAATAATAAGCTTGAAACATTTCTAGCTAAACAGATGCACCTTAACCATACTCTTAAGTGAAATCAATGGGACATACATGTTCAAACACCACATTGTTTCTCTGGTGAGAAACCAAAAGTATAATACATATTAGGAAATGGGAAGAAAATGTTCAAATGAGAAGGGGAACAAGGGTCAATAAAAAAAAGGAATAAAAGAAAAATGGAAACAAAGCTTTTGTAAATAAAGAGGGGAAGAGAGACTGAAGGGAAGGGAGGAAAAAGCAGCAGCAAAATATATGATTTACAGGTACTAATTCCCTATAATGACCATTATCACCATGTATATCTAAGATCTATGAATAAAATAAAACAAAAATTTAAAAGAATCAACCAAAGAATATGGGAATTGTAACTACCTGATTTGTGGACAGGAAGCATTTGTTTACACAACACATACATCAATCTTGAAAAGCAATTTTGAGTACTATAGTAGACATCTGTTCATTGACTGTGCAGCAATTACTGGTTTCCCACTTCCTAAAAATGCCCAATTTTTCTTCACATATCCAACCTCTTTCCCAAAGGGAGCTATCTGGGAAAACTACCTCACCACCTCCTAGCTCCATAATAGCTCTTTCTGGCATAGGCTTGGCAGTACATTTCACTGGCCACAGTACTTCACTGTGGGTGCTCAGGAACTAAGGTAATCAAATTAAAATGAATCTCGGGACAGTTACTTGGACAGATATATGCAACTGTAAGCAATATTTAACCTATCCCTCTCACTGCCATGTTCAACAATTTTTCTTAACCAAGCCTTCAAAATTTCTAGAAATCAACTTATAACACTGTATAGAACTATGTTCTATAGATCGGTGGTGGGATCTCCTGACACTGGACAACTGATACCATTCAAGAGAACTTTTAAGATGGAAATAACTCACCTCGATGGAAAGTGACTGGCAGAGGACGGCAAAGAGCTACGAAAAGAAAGTCACATAAAAGGATTGAAAAAGAGGCAATCACTGAATAGACACTTCTCAAAAGAAGTACAACCATCCCCCAAAATAAAATAAGTACAAATGTCAATAAGTACAGAATCTTTGCCCATTAGAGAAATGAAAATAAAAACAACACAGATTCCACCTTACTCCAGAAAAAACAGCTATCATCAAAAACTAAAAAAAAGCTGGAAGGTTGGATGGAAAAAAGAACCCTTCTACACTGTTGGTGGGAATGTAAACTAGCACAACCACCAGGGAAATGAGTATAGAGAGTCCTCAAAAAACAACATTTGATCTTAGTCAAAGGGCCAAGAAGCGATGCCTCAAAAAACTAAACATAGATTCCTTTTGACCAGCAAAACTTTTTCCAGTAAACTTCCTAAAACTTAGAGACATCATCTTACAGTGACATATGCATATCCATATTTATAACAGTACAACTCATAACGGCTAAATCTTAAACACTACCTAAAGGCCCACTGACAGACAAATGGATTTTTTAAAAATGTCATATAGATACACAGAGTATGAGTCAGAAATAAAGGATAAATCTGAGTCATTTCTTAGAAAAATGGGTATACCTTAAGACCATGATGCTAAATAAAATAAATCAGGCACTGCAGGTTAAATACATATTACATGGCGTCTATGAGAAATTCAAAGTATAAAGAACAATATAAAAGACCAGCTGGGCATGGTGTACATGTCTATAATCACAGCACTCAGGAGGCTGAGGCAGGAGGATTCCTGTAAGCTTGAGGCCAGCATGGGCTACATAATGAGCTCAAGGTCAATCTGAATTACAGAGCAAGACCCTATCTCAGTAAAACAAAACAAAACAACACAAATGACAGGGAAGACTGAGAGATTCTATGAAAACAGGAACGGGATATAGAATTGGAGGGAGACAGAAGAATGGGGAAGAGAAAAGGAAGTAAAAACAATTAAGATGTGATATGCACATGTTCCAATTACCCAAGATGAATGTGATTATTATTATTATTTTTTTTGAGACAGGGTCTTGCTTTGTAGGTTAGGCTGGCTCTGAACTCACTATGTAGCCCAGGCTGGCTCCAAACTGCTGGTGATCCTTTCAAGTGCTGGACTGTAGGTATGAACCTAATCACTGGCTAAATGTAATTATCATATATCACAAATGTATATTAGTAGAAAAAAAATGTCATCATTGATTAGTGCACAATTCTTCACATTAGCTGAGATGTTCTTTTTTACTAAGAAGAATGTGAACTAAAGTAAAAACTGAACAGCAGTCTTACAAATTCAAGTCTTATTGTTCTACTAAACTCTGATTTATAGATAAAATATTGTCATCCATACCTTAAGGGATGCCAAATAAAAACACCTAGCAACTATAAAGAACATTATATCTACTACTTGCTCCTCTGAAGCTCTTAAGAAATACTTTAGCTTAGTAATATAATAGTTTGCTTCTATCCTCTCCTCTTCTCTCCATACTCACTGACTGCAATAGCTTTTGAAAGTTTTTGGTGTGGTGGTTAAAGGAACTGAAGTCAGTATCACAAAACTGACTCAGTCACACTTACAAACACATCTCACTATGCATGGGAAAGCTCTCTTAACTTTCCTCAGTTACTGTGCAGGTTATCTGAATAACTAGTGCTTAAAACAGGATGTTTTAAATATTTGCAGGTATGACTGAAAAGTTTTGTGGTATTTTTCTGTACTAAGAGCATAAATGCTACCATCTCACATTCTCAAATTCTTACCCACAAGAGACATGCACAGCTCTTTGTCAATATGTCCATCTTCAGTCAGTGCCCCAAACACCAAGCCATCTGCACCATAAAGTTTCGCAAGCTGAATGTCAGCCTTCATCACCTCAATTTCACGATCTGAATACAAAAAATCACCTCCACGTGGCCGAATCATCACATAAACTGGGACCTGGACACACTGTTTCACTACTTGAAGAACACCTACAAGAACAGAAAGCAAACTAAAATTCAAATGGGAGCTAAAAGATCTAAAAAGTCAATTAAGATATTACTTGTGCATTTTCCTTGTTATTACTTCCAAAAGAAAAGGCTGACTGGGAAAATCAGAAAAAAATGGATATAAAGAAAAGAAGGACAATAAGAAGAATGTATATATTGGTAGAAAGTAAACAATAAGGAAATCAAGAATTTTTAAAAAGAGTAATTTAGAAAACTGAAGACACTACAATATAGAAGAAGTACTTTATCAGTTGTCCTACAAACATCCTTTTGACTCAGACCCCTTTAGCTGGTTATGACATTTGAAAGCATATTAACTACTACTCAGGCGCTGAGTAGTACTGTTCTGTACTGTAATGTACTGTTCTGTCAGTACATTCCTGAGGACCAAGTTTCTCCTCTCTAATTGATTATAGCTCTATTTAAGATCCACTATACCAGGGCTGGCCAGATAGCTCAGCAGACTAAAGTGCCTGCTTAGGCAGACACAGGGACCTAAACAGTAATTGAGACTGGGTGTGGTGGCGCAGGCCTGTAACCCCAGTTCTTGGAAGGCTGAAAACAGGAGGATCATTACGTGTATGATCTGTGTAGTGAGACCCTGTAGACCCTGTACTAAAATACATTAAAAATAAATAAAATAAAATCCGCTAAACAGATGGTTAAGTATTTTCAAACTTTATGGACTGGATAAGAAGTTTAGCAAAACTTATTTTTGAAACTGATACTTGAAAGGTAGTAAAAATTCTATTTATGGTATTATGCAGAGATATTTGAACAAAAGTACCTGCATATGACAATGTGGTCAAGTCAGAAATAGTCAACAGTATAAGATTTGTGTCAGGCATCATTAGTTGTTTACCAAATATGAATCTTCTTTTTCCTTGCTAAAAGAAGCTAAATTTTTCACAAAAGAGAAATATACCCAATATCAAACAATGAGTAATGAGTGGTATTACAAGAAACAGATTACTCTATAATTTATAGATACATTTTAGGGGTTTTTGAATGGCCAGAGAATGCCTTTTTTTAGTGAGAAGACTCCAAGAGGCTGTTAAATATATATAATCTTTATATTAATGCTATCATCAATATCAGAGTACCGTAACTTGGAATCAAAAGTTCTGCTTATAGAAACTAGTTTTGCCCTCCTTCCTATAGTACAAAAAAATGGGACAAAATACTTAAAGCAGTGCTTTGAATATCAAACCATAAGACTTTGATCCCTAAAAGACAAAAACAAGGCAAAATTGATGTCTGAGTAGCTTACCGCCTAGAGAGTCTCAAGACCCCAGTACAGAGAGGGAACCTAGGCGGAGCCTACAGAATTTTCAGAGTTTAGACAAAGCTTGGAGTCCATGAAGAACAAGGAACCTACAGTTGCAGGGAAAAGTACCAAGGAGGAGAGAAAAAGAACTCCAGATATCTGCAAAGAACCCCCTTTAATATTAAGCTAAGTACTGACTGTTGGATACATGTAAAGAAACTACATGAGGCCAGGAAAAAATTATTGGAGAGGGTAAGAAAGAATGTCTGTCACTAAGATCATACCTATTCCCAACAAGCAGACAAAATAACTTCAAGAATCACAAACAGTGGATAGAATACAGGTCTTGCCTCAGTAGTACAAAAACAAAAACAAAAAAACCTCTAGATTGACTACTACTCAGGAATTGCCTAATAAATTTTTTTTATAAGTACATTTTTTTAAATATATTCCGCTGTTTATTTATTTATTACATTCATTTAGTGTGTGTGTGGCCAGCTCAGCCCACCAGGGGGCGGGGCTGGCTGGCATGTGGTGCTGGGGGATCGAACCGTGGTCCCTGTGCTTTGCCAAGCCCGTTCCAAGAAGGTGCTCTAGACCACTGAGCCATCTCTCCAGCCCCTGCCTAATAAATTTTAAAATGAAGCCTGAAAGTTCCTAAGTAACCTAGCTGCTCAAATACATTTGAGTGCAAAAACACTGAATAACCAATAAAATAAATTTATAATGTATTTTAAATTAAATTATTAGGCAGGGAAATAAGAAATATCAACCAAATTAAACAACCCCAGAATTTATACAGATGTTAGAATTAGCAGACAAAGCCATCAAAACAACTATAATTTTAATCTACATGTTCAAAAAAATTCAGAAAACATGAGATGTAAAAACATTCAAATCTCTAAATGCCATCATGTGTGATATGAAAAATACACTAGGCAAAGTTAACCGATTAAACATTGCAGCAAGAAAGATGAGTATACTTGAAGACAAAGATGCAAAATGAAATAGAGAAAGCAGATTTTTTTTAAAGGTAGCTAATCAGTGAGTTCTAGGAGACTTTCAAGCAGTCCAATACAAATATACTTAATGTCTCTCAAAGAGGGAGTAGAGAATACTGCTGAACATGTGTGCTCATTTCCACCCAAGTGTGATGGAAAGCGTAAGTGTACAGGCCTAAGAAACATGAGGAAAACTACACTTTTCATAACTGAGCATCATAAATGAACTGCTCAAAACTCAGAATAAAGAAAATCTTAAAAGCAACCAAAGTGATACACAGAGGAAGACAAAGTTGTGGATGATACATTTATCAGAAACAACACAAGAAGACAGTGAAAAAAACATCTTAAAAGACCTGAAAGGAAAAGGAAAAACTATCAATCTAGAGTTTTATACCAAGTAAAAATATTTTTCAAAAATAAATGAGAAAGCTGTTACTGCAGAGCGGCTGATAATATATATATACAGCAGCTACACACCTTCCAGCTTTTTGATGCTAGATGAGCAAAATCTTTGATTATAATACTTACAACCATAAGCATTTCAAACTGAAACACATTCATACCATTATTTAGTAAAGGACCAAGTGAGACTGATGATCAGTTGTGCCTGGGCTATCTAAACTCCTAAAAGAAAATATGTGGAAAAAAGCACTTACCCATGCTGGGTGTGGTTCCTCCCTCCAATAAACCAGAACATAACTCAATCCGACCAGCTCCTGTAAAAAGAGAAAACAAACAAACAAACAAAACTGTTCAGCACAAATTTTTTAAAAGCTCTTATTTAACAGTAAATGGTTCAAAATTTTTTTTCAAGTACAGAAGTCTTAAAACGTTGTGTAAGACATTGCCAGGCATAGTTATGCATATCTATAATGCTACCACTCTGGGAGGCTGAAGATGATGAGCTTAAGCCCAGCCTGGAGAACCTAAAGTAATTCAAGACCTTGACTCAAAAATACATAACACAAAATAAGGGAAGGGAGGGGGCTACTGGAGATATAATCCAATGTGAAGGACCTAGATTTAATCCCCAGTACTACCACAGAGCAGAAAGGGGGAAAGGGAGGAAGGAGGCAGGGAAGAAGAGAGAGAGCAGGAGTAGAAGCAGCAGGTATCATAACTATATTTTGTAACCCACATTCATAATCTCAATCTCTCAATCTCTCTCTCTCTCTCTCTCTCTCTCTCTCTCTCTCTCTCTCTCATTTGAAAAAGGATATTTCCTTTGGTCAGGAAAAAAAAAAAAAAAAAGACAATGCCAATATAACAGACTGGAATTTGTAGGACGCAATGAAAGCAGTCCTACAAGGAAAATTTTTAGTGGTGAAGTCTCACATCAGAAAAACAGAGAAAACTTACATAACTAACCTAATATTGAGCCTCTAGGCTCCAGAAAAAGGGCAAGCCAACCCAAAGCACATTTGAGGGTAGAAATTATAAAGATTTGAGCAGAAATTAATGCAACTGAAACTAAGAAAACAATACCAAGAATCAATGAACTAAAGAGTTGGTTCTTTGAAAGATTAAATAAAATTAACAAATTCCTGGCAGAAACTTATCAAAACAATACACACTCAAATTCATGCAATTAGGAATGAAAAGGGTAAAATCACAATAAATTCTGCAGAAATCCAAAAGATCAATGCCTACTTCAAGAAATTTAGAGAACACATAATGCTACTATTTCTCAAACTCTTTAATGAAATTGAGAGGGAAACAATACACCCAAATTAATTCCTGGAATTAAGCATTATGCTTATACCAAAACCAGGGAAGAATTCAACAAAAAAAGAGAGCTACAGGCCAATCTCCCTCATGAACATAGATGCAAAAATCCTCAATAAAATACTGGCAAACAAAATGTAGCAAATCACCAAGAAGTCCATACACCATGCATGACTGAGTAGTATTCATCCAAGCAATTCAGGGATGGGTCAACATATACAATCAATAAACACTATATTAACACTATAACTTAAAACACTATATTAGCAGAGTTAAGAACAAAAACCAATCATCTCAACAGATGCAGAAAAAGTATTTGAAAAAAAAGAAAAAAAAAGTATCTGACAAAGTCCAACACCTGTTCATGATTAAAAACAAAAAACAAAACAAAAAACCCTACAGAGCATTGGAATAGATGATCTTCATCTCAATTGGATAAAAGCCATCTATGAAAAACCAATAGCTAGCATCACAGTAAATGGTCAAAAACTAAATATTTTCACTCTGAAATCAGAAACAAGACAAAGATGTCCACTATCAACACTTTTATTCAATACAGTTCTGAAAACATTAGTCAGAACAATTAAATAAGAAAAAAATAGAAGGACTAAGGCTAGGAAAAGAATTTACTAAATTAAAATCACTTGTGGATGGCATGATACTCTACATAGAAGATCCCAATAAGTCTATCACAAGACTTTTAGTTTTAATAACCACATTCAGTAGCACAGCTAGAGAAAAAGTCAACATTCAAAACTCAAGAGTATTCCTATACACAAATAACAGTTGTTCACTGAGAGCGCAATTACATTAACATCTTTCACAGTAGCATGCAAAAAACTGAAATACCTAGGAATCAATCTAAAGAAGAAAGTCAAAGACATTTGCGTTGAAAACTACATGCCTCTGAAAAAGGAGATTGGAGAGTATATGAGAAAAAGGAAAGAGGCTGGGGAGATAGCTTAGCAGTCTAAGCACCTGCTTGGCAAGCCCAAGGATGAGACTGATATCTGGTACTGCATGCCATGCTGGCCCCGGAAACCAAAGTACACTGTGATAGCACCAAAGCTGGGTATGGCAGTACATGCCTGTAACCCCAGTGCTGGGGAGGTTGAGACAAGAGAACCACTACGAGTCCAAGCCACGTAGCAAGACCCTGTATCAAATAAATAAATAGATTGTCTTTTAATTTAGAAAAAGAGAAAAGGTTGGGTGTGGAGGTGCACATATACTTATAATCCCAGCATTTGGGAGATTGAGGATTGCCATAAATTCAAGGACAGCCTGGGCTACATAGTGAATTTAAGGTCAGCCTGAATTACAGAACAAGAAAGAGACCCTGTCTCAAAACAACAACAACAAAAAGGACAGAAATATTACTCTTGGGTAGGAAGAACCAATATACTGAAAATAACCAACTTTCAAAACTGTTAATATTGACTGAATTTAATCCCAAGCAAATTACTAATAGCATACCTCACAGGACTAAGAGAAAACAACTCTAAAATTCATTTGGAATCAGAATAAACCTAGAATAGCAAAAGCAATTCTGGGCAACAAAGACAAGGTAGGTGGCATCACAATCCCTGATGTGATATGAGACTACATAATTACTTATGACAAATACAGTATAGTACTGGAAAAAAAACCCAAAAAACCAGACCTGAGGACCAGTAGAACAGATTATAAAATGCAGAAACAATTCTAAACACACTTAGCTACCTTGTATTTGATAAAGGAGCCAAACACCTTCACTGGACAAATGATAGCTTTTTTAATAAATGTTGCTGGAAAAACTGGCTTTCCATATTTCAAAGATTAAAACTAGATCCCTATCTTTCACCATGTACTAAACTAAAATCAAAAGATCTAAATATGAAAACAGAAACACTAAGACTGCGGGAAGATAGAAGAGGAACAACTCTTCCAGAAATTGGTATAGGCAAAAACTTCACAAACAAAATACTAATCACACAGGAAATATCAGAAAGAATCAACTGGGATTTGAGTCTATTAAAAGCTTTATAGCTTTCAGTTACCATGCACAGCAAAAGAAACCACCAACAGAATAAAGAAACAACCCAAAGTATGGCAAAACACCTCAGACGAAACCCAGAATACATAAAGGACTCAAAAAATCCAGACCTCTCCCTTCAAATTTAAAGACCCAATCCAAGAATGGCCATCCAAAATTGATACTTCTCAGATGTAGTAGAAATGACAAATATGGGAAAAAATGGTCAACATCACTAATTGTTCAAGAGATGCAAATTAAAATAATGTAAGATTCTATCTTATTCTAGAAAGAATGGCTATTATCAAGAAATCAACCAATATCAAATGCTAGTGGGGCTGTGGGGAAAAAAGGAACCCTTTTCCACTGTTGGTGAAAGTGTAAAATGCTGCAATCAGCACAGATTCCTCAAAAAACTTAAACAGATGTTCCATTAAACCCAGCTATTCCCTTTCTTGGTTATTTTCCTACAAGAATTAGCCAAAGCATCATACCAAAGCAATATATGCACAACCATGTTCATAATGGAACAGTCTGTAATAGCTAAATCTTGCAAACAGCCCAAATGCCCATCAACAAATGAATGGATAAAGATATGCTTTTATATGTATACAGTGGAGTAATACTCTGCCATAAAGAACAATAAGCTTGAGACATTTCTAACTAAATAGATGCACCTTAAGACCATACTCTTTAAGTGAAATCAATCAGTTACCATGTTTAAATAGCACATTAGTTCTCTGCTGTGAGAAAACAAAAGTATAAATAAGAACCAAAATTTGTAATACATATTGGGAAGTGGGAAGAAAACATTCAAATGAGAAGGGGAACAAGGGTCAAGGAAAAAAAAGAAGAATGGAAACAAAGCTTTTGTAAACAAAGAAGGGAAAGGAGATTGAAGGGAAGGGAAGCAAGTGGGGAAAATAGCAGCAAGATGCATGACTTAACTAATTCCCTATGATGAATAATAATTATGTGTTTCTAAAATGTACCAATTTAAAAAAAAAAAAAGCCAAATGCCAAAAGTGTCCATCAAGGCTGAAAATATGTACTACATGACTCTTCAGTGAAAAAGTAAATCAGGGACCACTGAAAAAGTTTGAAGGTATGAGTTCAATCCCCGGTTCTGGAAACAAAAAAAAAGAAGAAGAAAGAAAGAAAGAAAAAGAAAAACACGTTTAAAAGTTTGAAGGTGAGTGATGGGTACCTCAGGGTTCATTACACTACTCTGTGGCTATGTTTGAAGCTTTTCTGTAATAAAAATTTTAAACATTTTCAGATCATGAGATGATGGAAAATGTCTATACTTCCTATTAAAACCATATACAAAACAAACACTGGAGTAAAGATAAGGTCTCTAAAACTATCTGTTTTTTTGAGGTTAGGAGGGGACTGTGAACTCAAGAGCATTATCACAGAGCTACATGCTCAAAGTCCTATAAAACCAATTTAAACTAACATCTTGAATTTTTCAGTTTTGCTACTGTTCAATGATAATTTAGTAGGCTGGGTGTGGTGTAATAGGCCTATAATCCCAGGACTTAGGAGGCTGAGACAGAAGGATCACTGTGAGCTTATGGCCTGCTTGGGGGCTCCAAAGTGAGTTCAAAGCCAGGCTGAACTGCATAGTGAAGCCCTGTCTCAAAAAGAAAAAAAAAGCAAAAACCTGTAATGACCAAGCGTCATTGTGAACATGATTCAAATGTGATCTGCTACACAGAAAGACTGGATCATAATTTTCCAGTAGGTGTTTAGTTGGTTTTTATAGGAGAACTTTCTTTTTATGTATTTGGTACAGGGTCTACAGGGTCTCACTACACAGATCAGAGTCGTAGTGACTTTTGTTTTCAGCCTCTCAAGCACCAGGATTACAGGCATGTAACACCACACTGTCTCAGTCAACAACTCAGCACAACCTGGGGGCAGGCTGGCACAGCATGCCAGGGATTGAACCCTGGCCACTGTGGTCTGCTTACGCAGGTGCTTTAGTCCGCTGAGCCAACTGGCCGGCCTCAAGTCGCTTTTGAAAGGATTATTAAGGCCCTCAGAGCATTTCTGAAGTCAGCTCATGGGAATTATTTTTAGCTCCTTGAAAGGTTGCCAACTGTGTCTCACTCTTTAATTTCCTTACCTCCTCTTTCTGCATTCACAGCTGACTCCACTGAATCCACACATACTTCCATAAGAAATCCATTTGCTGCTCCTGAAACATGTGGAGGACAGACACACATGAAAGTACTACCCAGATGAATCTCTCACAAATACAACATTTTACTAGCAAACTCTAAATGGCACACAATAAGTAGGTAAGTGCCCTAGGCACCACAAACAGTACAATATCACACTATTAAACTGATGTCATAACGGTGAAATAGGCACACAGACCTACATGCAAGAAATCCTACTGAGCAGAATATTGTCAGATTAGTCTTCCTTAAATACTGAGCTCATCATCACATCCTAGCTCAGATTCCTACAATGCTCAACTTCTGCATCATGTTTAAATGTCTTTATAAGGAATATATGCTTAAAAGAAAGAATGACATTATATCCTAGTCCCACCACTTATTGTGAGATTCTAGGTTAGAGTTTTCTAAGATGGTAGGTCTTGCTACCTACCTGAGTAATGAAGACTAAAAGACCTAATTCATGTACAAAGCATAGTACCCAACAAGAACTTAAAGTAGCCATTAGTAAGCTACATACTATTTCCTCTTGATGTCTTCAATTCTCCCCAGGCTTCATCCTCACTGTATTTTTTTTTTTTTTTTTTTTTTTCTGTATTTTAGGGAAGGGTGTACAGGGTCTCACTACTAGATCGGACTTGTAGTGATCTGCCTGTTTACAGCCTCCCAAGAGCTGGGATTACAGGCATGCACCACCACGCCCAGTCTCAACTGCCGCCTCAGCACACCCCAGGGACAGGGCCAGCAAGGCAGGCCTGGGGATTGAATCCAGGCCCCTGTGCCTGTTTGCAGGTGCTTTAACTCACTGAGCTGTTTGGCTGGTCCTATCATCCTCAAGATTGCTTATGCCATCTTAATGCACAAAATCCTTCTGGGTTCATTTTTAGTGCTAAAATTTTTCAATTGTCAAGCTACGCTTCCATGCTTTCTTTTTTCCTCTCAAAGTAGGAAATTTTGTCTCCCTCTTTTCAACAAATTTAACTCTTTATGGGCTATATCTTCCCCCTTAGAACACGACTTACTTTGTATCTCTTATTTATGAAAGTATCAAATTAGTCTTAGCTGACCTAAAGTTCCTAAGGTCTTATGTGAGAAGTCTTTATTACCTAAAGCAAAAATAGTGTCTACCACTGGTACCCAATATTCACTTCAATATTAAAAGTTGAATAATTGCAAGTATATCAATTCATATACTGATACTAAAAATGATATAGTTTGAGTGTAAAATAAAGATATGTTTTTAATTTAAAATACTGTATTTACTCCATGCAACGATGCATGGAAGATGCTCACTACTTTGAGGTAACTGTTAGTGGATTTGGAACTATTTTACTTCTTTGGTTTGACAGCTTGAATTTTTCTACCTGCTATGGTAGTTGTGTGTTTATTGTAATTTTGCGATACTGGGGATGAAACCCAGAGCCTTGCAATGAGTGATATCACCAGCTTTAAAAACACTTTTTTTTTATTAGTACAAGTTTCAGCACATAATGGTTCATTGTGGGAAATTGGTATATATTCATAACACATCTCAATTCTGTTTCCTCCTTCTCTCTACCCTCCTTTTATTGCCAGCATCAGAGTCAAGTATTTATCTTCTAAGTCTTTTTTTTTTTTCTTTTGTATTTTTAAGGGTCTACAGGGTGTTCAGGGTCTCACTACTAGATTGGACTTGCAGTGATCTGCCTGTTTACAGCCTCCCAAGTGCTGGGATTACAGGCACGCGCCACCACGCCCAGTCTCAATCGCCCTCTCAGCACACCCCAGGGGCAGGGGTAGCCCCTGCCAGGCGCTTTAATCCGCTGAGCTATTTAGCCAGCTCTATCTTCTAAGTCTTTATAAAGTTAATTGATAAGCTTTTTTCAGGCGCATGGTACAGCAAAGAAACAGGCAGAAGGGAAAAGGGCAAGGTGCTTTATTACCTTTGAGGACACGGTGAGAATGTGGGGAAGATGAGGAATTCTCTGGAGTTGAACAAAGGGAGGCTGAGGCTTTTGCCAGGGGTGGAGTTCGAGGGGGGATATTCAGATATACCTGAGAACTGATTGGGGTCTTCCCTAAAGCGGCAGGAAGGGTGAAAGGAAATTGCACCCTGGACTGAGTTGGAGAAAAAGTAGGGAGGTGGTCTTGGGAAGGTGGGCTTTTGTTTTAAGCCCATATTAGATGATCGCCATAATGATTCAGCAATTCATACTAGGGCCAGAACTTATCTTTAATTATCATACACACAGATCAATAACCAGACTAGCAGGCAAAAATATATATATATAAAACACAAAAGAAAATTACACTGAATCTAGATACTTTTGACACTGTCCATGCTGGATTACAGTACCTCTTTTCCCTATTATTTATCTTTTATTCTGCACTTTACAGTTTCTAAGAAAAATATGCACTATTTAAGCCTATGTGTCTGATTTTACTTAACATTATGCTTTCAAGTACATCTATTTTTCTATAAATGACTCAAGTTTATCATTCTTTGTGGCTGAATAGTACTCCAGTGTGTAAAAATATAAATAGCACATTTTCTTCATCTGTTGAAGAACATACAGGCTATAATTATGAATAATGCTGTTAAAAACATGGGTATGAATACCTCACTGTGTATGATGTCTTTAACTTTTTATTATAGCCCTTTTTAATGTATTTTTTTGAGACAGGATATTTCTAAGTTTGCAGGCTGGTCTTGAACTTGCAATTCTCTTGTATCAGCCTCCCATTTAAATGGGATTACAAGCATCCATCACTGTGCCAGGCTGTAACACTGCTTTTACAATGAAAACTTGAACATTTTGAAAAATAAAAATCTGTCATCAACTAATACCCACTTTTAGCTGTTATTTATTTAAAAGAGTATAGTATCAAACTGGAAAACTTGCGAATCTATGTTCCTAACCCACCATACTGCGTTAACCCCAAGAGTCTCAACAGCTGCTACCAACTGCTACATCAGGTGAGCTGTACACAAAACGGAGGCCAGCAGCAGAGTAAGCAGCGATCCTGAGAAAGTTATTTATAGAAATGAAAGATGAGGCCCTTGCTTGAAGCAACAGCGTTTGGTTTTTGGGGTTTTTTTTTTAGGTGGTATCAGGGATCAAACTCAGGACCTTGCACTTGCCGGACAAGCACTTAATTCTACTGAGCTGTATCTCCCTGGCCGCAACAGTGCTTAAAGCGATTAAGTTCCCATAACTTGGGGCATCTCTGAAGACTTTTAGTCTGTGGGGTAAAACCATTTTTACACCAATTATAAGCCTTTACCTTTTTATTCACAAATAGACGTTTCAAGAGACTACTTGACAAGATTGATTTAAAACGTCAGGCGTAAGAATCCAGCTGTTTTCCATTAAGCTACAAAAGGATTTGCAAAAGTGACACTGCCATTTTGCTTTTTTTTGTTTAGGAATATTGTACACGAAAATTATTTATGTTAACATGGGTTTATTATGGTTTTCTATTTAGAGATTTTGTTTTAATTTCCAACCTGATCAAAGTGTACTGCTTAAGTCACATAAAGATTCCTGGGGGTTCTCGGTGACTTTCGGGACACAGGGACACAAATACAAAAGGCGAGACCCGCTGGCGCAGAGGACCCAAGAGCTCCGGCCTGCGCGCCACGTGGCGCGGCCCAAAGACCTCGAAGCTCGGGGCCTCGGACTCCGCCGCGGCGCGGCTTCCACTCCAACCCCGCCCTCCGCACAGCTCCGGGGGCCACGAGACGGGCCCAGCGACCCGCGCGCGGCCATGGCACACGAGGCTCGGGGTCGCCAGGCCGCCGCGAGGCGCTGCGCCCGCATCCCCGCAGGCAGCTCCAGGCCAGCCCGCGCCGTCCGAGCCGCAGGGGCGGTATGCGCGGCGCGGAGGAAAGCTCGCGGGCAGCGCCCGCCGCCGGCGCCGAGAGCCGAGTCGGCCGACCGCCCCTCCCCCGCCTCTTCCGCACCGGCCGTCCCCGACGGTATCCGCGCGGCTTTCCGCTCCAAGGAGGTCCCCTGCCTCTTCATGCTCCACGCTCTCCTCGCGCCCTCGGTTTCCACTCACAGGCCGAGCGGCCGCGCGCGCACCCTGGGAAGCGCGTCCTCCAAGGCGGCGCACGCCCTGCACGTCCCCGACGTCCGCGGCCCCACCCACCGCGCGGAAGCGTACTTACGGCGCAAGCGCAGTCGCCAGCTTCGCCAGGCTCGCGCCCTGCACGTCCCCGACGTCCGAGGCCCCGCCCACCGCGCGGAAGCGTAGTTACGGCGCAAGCGCAGTCGCCAGCTTCGCCAGGCTCGCGCCCTGCACGTCCCCGACGTCCGAGGCCCCGCCCACCGCGCGGAAGCGTAGTCACGGCGCAAGCGCAGTCGCCAGCTTCGCCAGGCGCGCGCCGGCGCCCTGACCCGGAAGTGCTGCTGCCGCGGGGAGCCGAGAAAAGAGATCGCGAGCCCTGAGGCGCACGGGTGGCGGCCGGGCGTTGTCGTCAGTATGCAGCGGCTGCTCCTTCCATCTTTGAAGGCCTTGATGCGGAGCCGGTGTGCACCGCCCCTGGGCCCTGGGGGGGCTCCCAAAGCACAGGTACTACACGGCCACAGACCCGGATCCTGGGTGGGGATGGGACCAGGCCAAGGTGAAGACTGGGAGCGCCCCTCCTCACGTTACCTACGTTTCAAACACATTTCCTTGTGTCCAGAGCTCTTACATTCATTCGATTCGCTTGTTTCGAGTTTTGTGCTAAATAAGTTTCTGTGCCTCAGTTTCCTTATCTGTGAAATGGGGATAATACCTACTTAATGAGGTTGTTATGACAAATAATACACGTCGAAACTTTAGTGTAAGGCAAAAAGTTCAATAATATTTAACTGCATGTTTGCTCTTGCTAAAAGCACCCCAAGTAATCAGGAACTACTGTACAAACCCACTGGACAGGAAAGAAAATTGAGGCCAGCCGTGGTGGCGCAGTATGTCATTCCAGCACTTGGAAGGCAGGATGATTGCCATGAGTTCTAGGCACCCTGAACTACGGACACAGGAAGACTGTGTCTCAACAACAAAATCAAGGTTTAAGTTGGCTGTCTAAAGTTGCTCAGTTAATTAGACGTAGAACACTGAACATAGACGTTTTGGGTTTTTTTTTTTTCTGTTTGTTTTCTTTTTTGCGGAACCGGGGATTGAGCTCAGGTCCTTGCGCTTGCCAGGGAAGCGCTTATTCCACCGAGCCATCTCACTGGCCCACATAGACGTTTTACAGATAGAGCCAAAACAGAGAGGTATATGCTCAACTAACGGTTGTTGGGAAATGGTTGTGTGTTAGGACCTGGGAAGAGAAAGGTAGATACTACAAGGCTGCCTCCTTGGAGGAAGTTACGGTTTATTTGTTGACTCTTCATAAAAGTTTTGTTATGTAAGGGGACCGCCTTAGAAATAAAGATAGTAGCACTTGAGACTGATCAGACCCTGCCGTCCAGGGCTTATGGATTAGTGAAAGAGGCAAATCGGAGTGTTAAGAACCCTGGTAGCAGTTGTGTTCTGTGGCAGTGACCTGTTGTTGGAGAGTTTGGGCAGGCTTCCTGGAGGAGGTGATACACAAATTGAGATCTCTAGGAAGTAGTATCAATCAGGGAACAAGTAGTGTTCCAGGGAGGAATTAAGTTTAAAAGACCCAGAGAAGAAAGAATGTAAGATCTGGGAGAAGGCGCAGAGAACGGGAAATTGACGTAGTGTGTGGACACACTGGCGTGAGGCAAGAGGTGAGGCGGGAGAACCATTCTGGAAGGTTTGGAACGTAGAGAACGGTGATGTAACCGCAGTAGCAGTGGTGGGTGTGGGTAGCCGCCTCCCCCCGTCTCTTCAGTTGTAATTGTCTGCTTTGATCCTTAGGGTGGTGACAGTTACGGCATCCAGCGCCCTGTGCAGCCAGTGCAGTACAGCACCGTCACTGAAGTGGCCTTGCAGTCTGGAAAGGGTGCAGTGTCGCTTCCCTCGAAGGCGGCTGAGCGGGTCGTGGGCCGCTGGCTCCTGGTCTGCAGTGGAATGGTGGCTGGGGCAGTGATTCTTGGCGGAGTGACTAGGTGAGTAGTTTGCATGAGCGAGTCAGGAGTTCTGGGTTGTCATTAGGAGCGCAGGGTGCTTGAGAGGGAAGAGACCGTAAGGAGCGGCTAGTACAGCTCTTAATCATTTTACAGATGGAGAAACTGAGGCCTTGAGGAGGCACCATATCTGATGGCTTTCTCTGCCACAGAGCAGGTTAGTATGTCATTAGGAGGAGCCTGTTATAAAGATTGGTTTAAGTTTAAACGAGGAGCGTTGGATTGTTTGTGTGTGTCTTGGGTGGATTCTGTGTCTCATTTTCCTTTCTCCCTTCAATCTCAATTTTATTTGAATGTTTTTCCGGTTTTTTGGATCAATTATGGTACTTCACAGTGTCGGATATCACAATTGGTTCATGCACCACAAACTTTAAACACACTGTTTAGATTTACCGTTGTGGACACCCAAGACATTTGCCTGGAGCAACCCACACAGTCTTGGTTTTGCTGATTGTGTTGATTTTAATATGTCCCAGTCTGCCCTATGTGTCCAGTAAAGACTTACTTCTTGATCAGATTCAGACTAAGGTTAAAGGACCAAGACACTTCATAGGTGATTAGAACATTCACAGACGTCTGGTGTCCCTTAGAAGATTTCAGAAACCATTAATTACTGTTACTTAGAGGCATTATTTCATTAGAGTTACAAAATTATAATATTTATTAGCTCAGTTTTGAAAAACAAAAAACTCCCTCATCAATTTGGTTATCCCAAGATATAACCTTTTCTTATAGAAAAGGCAAGGCAGATATTTGATGCTTTCCCTTTGTTTACCAATTTTCAGAACAATAAATTAGCCAGACATGGTGGTGCACATCTGTAATACCAGCACTCCAGAGTCTGAGGTAGGAGGATCACCATGAGTTCAAGGCCAACCTGGGCTATGGAGTGAGACCCTGTCTCAAAAAAAAAAAAAAAAAGAAAAGAAAATAATAAATTAGTTCCCAAGACTTCCCAAAGGCACCAAAGTATTTGCGTTTTTTTTCTTTTTTGGAACCGGGGATTGAACTCAGGCCCTTGCGCTTGCCAGGGAAGCGCTTATTCTACTGAGCCATCTCCCCGGCCCAGTATTTGCATTTTTAAATATCATCCTAAATTCAGAGATTTAAACACATCTGATAGGACCCTGTTCTACTTTTGATAGTTCCTTGCTTTTGATATCCTGAAGTGTCCAGATTTATCTTGTACATTTCTTGCCTATGGCCTAAAATTAGTTTTAGTTTAGTTTAGGGATGCTGATAGCTTTTGGTTTTCTTTCTTTTTTAAATATCAGTTTATTTACACACATACCTAGTATGCCATATGAATTCAAGAGTTTGATCTTATTCCAAAGAGATTGTACCTCTTAAGATATTTTTCACATCTATGAAAGACAATGAATTAAAACATCTGTAGTCCTTCAGCAGTTGGTCTCTCACTCTAAAGAAAGGTTTCACAAATCCAGATACAAGGTACAAGGTCGTCATGTTTTCTACTGAAAATAGTAAGTTCTCCTCGGGATCATTCTGCTAGTGGCTAATATGCTACTATGGGGTTGTGAAACTGGGTCAATTTTCATAAAGAGTATTTCTCATATTCTGCCCTAATTTATCTGTTTCAATATACCATCAATGCCTCATAGCCTGTTCTGGGAAACTATGTAACAGTAAATCCCCAGAGAACCTAAGCCTGCATTCCTGTAAGAAGTCTGTTTGCCCTGTGTAAAGAATGTTAATTATCTGGAACAGGGGAAGGAGAAGAGAGACACAATCAAAGCAAAATACGTGCGTGTGTATAGGTGTTGCGTTAGTGAAATTAGTGGAGGTAAGAATATGGGGAATACATAGGGCTGGGCAATAGCTTAGAAGTAAGCGCCTGCCAGGCGAGCACAAGGACCTGGGTCCGATCCCATCCTGCATGCCAAGCCAGCCCTGGAATCCTGGGTGCACCATGCAGGCCACCGAAACCAGGCGTGGTGGTACACTCCTGTAATCCCAGCACTGGGAAGGCTGAGCCAGGAGGATCAGTATGAGTCCAGGCTGCATAGCAAGACCTTGTACCAAATAAAGAAATACTTTTTTTTTTTTTTAAAAAAAAGAGAGTATGCATTAGTGAAATCCACTAGTTTGTAAGATTAATAGATATTGATACTTACAGTTTAAAAAACAATGATGGTTATGGCTTGTGAGGTGTAGTTCAGTGGTAGAGCATGTGTAGTTCCTGGCCAAAAGAAAAAAAGAGCTGGTTATGTATTTAGGATACATTTTGGGTAGTTTTGCCTGTCAAGTAATGCTAGTAAGAAGAACTGACTGAAAAAAATTAAGCAAGTAAGAGGGTAAAGAAATCAAGCCTGATGTGTTGGCACACACCTGTAGTCCCAGCTGAGACAGGAGGGTCTTTGGGAATTTGAAACCAGCCTGGGTTACAAAGTGAGCTCAAGGCCAGCCTGAACTACATAGCAAGACCCTGTCTACAAAAGACAGAAAAAAAAAAAAGGCTGGCAGGATCGCTCAGCAGACTGAGCACCTGCTTAGGCAAGTGCAGGGACCAGGGTGTGCACCACATGCCGCACTCACCCCACCCCCGGGTGTGCTGAGCCAGCCAGGAGGATCACTGTGAGTCCAAGCTGTGTAGTAACACCTTGTACCAAATACGTTTTTAAAAGAAAGAAAGAAAAGTAACAAACCAGTGTTTCTCATAGACTTTTAAGCAGTAAGAAAAAAGGGTATCACAAGAGGAAAGAATTGGGGCCGGGAGATGGCTCAGTGGAATAAGTGCTTCCATGGAAAGCACAATCCCTGGAGGAAACAGTGAATTGATGTGTTCATTTTGATTGGGGTTATGATCTACTTGCTGTAAACCATTTATGAATAATCTAGTGTCATGAACTCAAAGAAATTGCTTCCTGTCCTAAGGTTGACAGAGTCTGGCCTCTCCATGGTAGATTGGCATTTAATAAAAGAGATGAAGCCACCTACAAACCAAGAGGAATGGGAAGCAGAATTCCAGAAATACCAACAATTTCCAGAATTTAAAATGTAAGTTTAAAAAAAAAGGTAAATAACCACTACCTGATCTTACCTGAAACCCTATGGAATGGTTAGATTCCTTTTTTTCTTTTCTTTTCTTCTTCTTTTTGAGACCCAGTTTCACTATGTAGTTTAGTCAGGCCTGAAACCCACTCTGTAGCCAGACTAGTCTCAGGCTCACAGTTCTCTGACCTCAGCTTCCCCAGTGCTGGGATTACAGGCTCTGTGCCTGCCTCGATTCCTTTATTGCTTGATCTTTGGTTCAGGTAATTAATGAGCTCCTAGTCTAACATCTAAGTCTAGAGTCATCCTGAAGTTGATAAAGAGGAACAGGGCAGGCTACAAAACTGCCAGTCTGAGACGGTTTCTGCATTGCATGGGGAAATAAAAATCAGACAGACATAGCCTCTTTCTTTATTATTGACTTCCTGTTTCACCCAGCTTGAATCATGATATGACACTGGCCGAATTCAAGTTCATCTGGTACATGGAATACTCACACCGCATGTGGGGTCGTGTTGTAGGTCTTGCATACATCCTGCCTGCTGCCTACTTTTGGAGAAAGGGCTGGCTTAGTCGTGGCATGAAAGGCCGCGTTCTTGCTCTCTGTGGCTTGGTCTCCTTCCAGGTAAGATTCATTCAAGTTTGGGAAACTAGAGGTGCTTCAAGGAGCTTCCTAGCTGGCATTATTTCTAAGGAAGTAATCTTTGAGTCACTGTAACAGAGTGGGTAAGAGTATGATTTGAGTCTGCCACTTACTAGGGCAAGTAACTGACCTTTGCAAACTATGATTTTCTTACCTATAAATGCAGATCATAACGGTACCTGTCATTTAGAGTTTGTGGGTATTAAGACAATAACATATGAAGCACTTGGGGCTGGGGAGATAGCTCAGTAGAATAAGTGTTTGCCTGGCAAGCACAAGGGCCTGAGTTCAATCCCCGGTTCTGCAAAAACAAACAAAAAAGACGAAAAAAACCCCAAACATATAAAGCACTCATCTGAATGCCTGGAATCAGTAAATTCTCCAATAATGCATATTCTTGTATCACCTGGGCTTTCTTTCTTTTTGCCAAGAGAGTAGAATCCCAAAGACAAGTAGGAAAACTCCAGAAGAGAAAAACACTTTGTAGAATGAAAGATCCTACAATACAGATTTACCTGAGAGATACTTAGGTATAGTGTTTAAAATTATTTAAGCTAAATTCATTTAAAGGAAAAAAAGCTCTGAAAGACTCCCATAGTTAAGAGGTTGGGTAAAGCTGAGCAGCAAGAGAAGGAATTAGAGAGAACACTTAGAAACATGGGGATCGAAGTACAAAGAAAGGTTCTGAGGGAGAGTGTCGGAGTAACATCAAAGTTAATCAGGAAGAAGCTAGCTGGCTACCTAGAAGTGGCAAGAAGATGAGCCACTTGGTTTTATTGGGGGTTTTTTTTGTGGAACCAGGAATTGAACTCAGGCCCTTGTGCTTGCCAGGGAAGCGCTTATTCCACTGAGCCATCTCCCCGGCCCAAGATGAGCCACTTGGAAGGGATTATGGAGGCAATAGAAACAGGAGCTAGACACTGCCAGAAGTCTAATAGAGCTGGAGGGATAATCCCAGCACTCCAGACACTGAGTCAGGAGGCTCACCTTGAGATCAAGGCCAGCCTGAATTACATAACAAGACCCTGTCTCAAAAAGCCGAAAGAAAGAAAAAGGGTCTAATAGTAACAGGGAAACTTAGATGGAAGATGATGAAACTTCATATTTTGGAAATAAATACTAAAGGGGGCCAGCCAGATAGCTCAGTGGACTAAATCACCTGCTTAGGCAAGGGCAGGGACCGGGCTTTGATCCCTGGCACCACATGCCATGCCAGCCTGGTCCCCGGGGGCACACTGAGACAGCAACTGAGATTTGGCATGGTGGCGTGGACCTGTAGTCCCAGCACTTGGGAGGCTGAAAACAGGAGGATCACTCGGAGTCTAATCTGTGTAGTGATCCTGTAGATGCTGTACTAAATACATTTAAAAAAGACTAAAAATAGATTTCTGGGAAGGGAGAAATTTAAAATGTCAAAGTGATGGGAGGATGAAAGTGAGGGCTGGTGAACTCTATATGCTCTCATTTTACACAGCTGAAATCAGGGTAATTAGAATAGCGAAGGCAGGGCCAGGGAGATGGCTCAGTAGAATATGCGCTTGCCAGGGCCTGAGTTCAATCCCCAGTTCCATCAAAAAAAAAAAAAAAAGAGAATAACAAAGGTACTCTTGAAGGCGAAAGAAGTGGCCAAAACAGTTTCCTGAGGAACGAATGTATTGAAAGAAGTGGGAGAATCACACCTCTTCAACCTGATTCTACTGGTTTAGTAGAAGTGGGTACGAGAGGACTACATTATACTTGATATAATTGGAACCGACAGTTGTGTGGTTGATTGAGAATGCCAGTTACAACAGAGAATCATAAAATCCAGCACAATGTAAATGTCTAAATTTAGACATGTCCTTTTACTGTCATCTTTTTATTTTTTTCCAATCCAAGACTGAGGCTTTTCTTTGATTCCCCAGATTAGAGTTCATCTTCATATCTCTTGTACCGGGGCTTGGGAGATGGCTCAGTGGAATAAGCACTTCCCTGGCAAGTGCAAGGACCTGAGTTCAATCCCCGGTTCCACCCAAAAAAAAAAAAAAAAAAAAAAATTAACCTCTTGTACCTACATAAACTGCTTTCTAGTTTCATTTTCCTTGAAAAGAAAAAAGAAGTAGGAACTCAGAAATTTACAAAACAATCTGTCTAGAGGTCTTACAGATTTGTATGACCTCCCCCTAATTTTTGTATGTTTGTTTTTGTTTGTTTTTTGAGACAGAGTCTTGCTATGTAGTTCAAGCTGGTCTTGAACTCACTGTGCGGTTCAGGCTTCCCTTGAGCTCATGATAATCTTCCTGCCTCCACCTCGCAAGCGCTGTGATTACAGGAGTGCACCACCACGCCATCTCCAAAGCTTTTATAATTGCCTGATCTTCACCTAATAATTGTTTTTAAGCAGTTACCTTAATTAAGGTTTTTTAAAGCTAGCAATGTAGTTTTCAGAGTCAACTCTTTTTTTAATCAGTGGTTTACATAATGTCAAATTCTCTCAACTGGATGTAGGGTTTTGCATACAATGATGAAGGTTTTGTAGTTTATATTTGGATTTTAGTTCAGTAAAACATTAAGTAGTGGTGAAGTACTGCTGGTACCAAGTGTGGAACTGTGGGTTATGCTTCTTGGGATATGGGAGGATGTGGAAAGCAGAGGCCAGGAAGGGAACAAAACAAAGTAGTTTCAATCTAGATTTGCCTCCGTCTTCTGGGCCCTAGGGTCTGTTGGGATGGTACATGGTGAAAAGTGGATTAGAAGAAAAGCCAGATTCCTACGACATCCCTCGCGTCAGTCAGTACCGCCTTGCAGCCCACCTCGGGTCAGCCCTGCTTCTGTACTGCGCCAGCCTGTGGACCTCGCTCTCGCTGCTGCTCCCTGAGCACAAGGTAAAAGTCAGGCTGTGGATTTTTACCGCGTCCGTACAGATGCTAACAGGAAATTCTGATTCTCATGAGAAATTACAAGTCCAGCCACAGATTCCTTTAAAGTAACATCTGTCAGTTTTCCAGAAACAAGATTGTACTGAAGTTGAGATAAGTTGAATATTGAGACTTTAGATGATTTTGAGACTACAAAAGCAAAACATGAACTTACATAGTTTTGGAGCTAGAACAATTAAAGAAAAATTAGTGTAACAGCTGATTTTTTAAAAAAATTGTGATAGAATGTACATAATCATTTTAAGCATTTAAGCCAGTAATGTGAAATATATTCACAATATTGTACAACCAGTCTTCAAAAAATTTTGATATCCATTAAATAAACCCTTTTCTACTACAGGTTACCTTCTCTATGAATTTATTCTAGGTACTTCCTGTAAGTGTAATAATACAGTCTGTCTTTTTGTGACTGGCTTATTCCATGTATCATAGTTTCCTCCAGGTTAACTCATGATGTAGCATGTGTCAGGATTCCTTTGTCAAGGTGCTGTAACATTCCATAGTGCATAGATGTGACGTTGTGTTTATCTACATCTGTCTTGCATAGATAAAAAAATAGTGGACTTTTTTTTTAGCTGTTGAGAATAATGATGTGAATATGGGTGTGCAAAATATCTTTTTGGTTTCAGTTCTTTTGTATTTTTATTTTTTGTGGCCAGCTCAGCCCACCCTGGGGGCGGGGCTAGCACAGCGTGTGGTGCTGGGGATCAAAAGTTCTTTTGGACATATATCTAGAAGTGGAATTTCTGGGTCATATAGGAATGGAATATTTTGTCTGTATTACCTATTGGCAAAGGAGCGAATATCGATTTTAGAGGAAAAGTGAGGAGCACCAACAGTGAGATGTCCCATGCATTTTAACTTACAGAAGGGATGGTGGATAGAAAGGCACGGCAGGCCAGAATAAGCGCTATAACTGAACTTTTGGTGGTATGCATGTTGTGTTGTTAAATGGGGACCTGCCATTCAAATTGCACATATTAAACCTAAGCGATTTTGTCTAAAAGGGTTTTCTCTATGCTGATTTTCCTTTAGGAAAATAGGAGATTTTACACTTTATGCTTTGATATAAAAGCAAGGTATGGTTATTTTGGAAGCCATTATATATAGTAGAGATCTCATTCACACCCCTACAAGACAGTTTTTTCTAGTATTTTAAAACTGTGATTAGGACTGGGGATGTAGCTCAGTAGTAGAATGCTTGGCTAGCATGCACAAAGTCCTAGGTTTGATCCTCAGCACCAAAAACAGCAACAAAGAAAACATAAAAGCCAGTGATTATTGGATTAAGTATTGAAATCACGCTTGATGGCAAACCTTTTGTAGCTTTCAGTCGTACACACAGCCCACTGCAGCATGCGTCTAGGTTTGCCATCACAGAACTAAACCAACTTTATGGAGCAGTGTGAGGAGACAATAGGATTGTTAAGTAGCACCAGCCCATAGCTGTGGAACTGCTGTGGCTTGGATCCCAGTAAGAATTAGAGGTGTTAGCTTGCAGTCATCCCCACAGGGAAGCCAGCTAGTTGAAGTGTGTAGTACACTTTCAAAGCCAAACTGCTAAAATACGTTGTCTTTGTCTGTAGCTCTATTTCTTAACCACCCATTCTTTTCTTTTCAGTCCTCATGATCAGGCTGCCACTCACTGCTCTAACACAAATTCACACATACCAACACATTTAGACATATATACTCACACATACACTCTGCCAAAATTGAAACTCTTATATATTACTGATTGTATCACTTGTTTTCTCCCTCTTTCTTGGTATTACATCTAAGTATGGGAAGGATTTGAAATGATGGTCAGTTAGCCATATAGTGCTTAATTTTTAGTAATTAAAATTAAGTAACATTAATTTTATTTAAAGAAATTATGTTTTTGGCAATACTTAAGATAAAACCCAAGGAGTGCTGAGCTATATTCACAGCCCTTTTTTATTTTTATATTTTTAAATTTTGAAGCAGTATCTCCCTGAGTTGCCCAGGCTACCCTTGAACTTGTAGTCCTGCCTGAGCTTCCTGTAGGCATGCACCACCATGTCCAGCTTAAACATTTTGCTTCTTCATATTTAAGTAAAAATAACATTTTATATAATTTTCAGTCATATCTAGGCAGTGTTTCAGTGTTTCTTTTTCTTTCGAGACAGAGTCTTGCTACCTGTATACTTCAGCCTAGGCTTCAACTTGATTTGTAGCCTGAGATGGCCTTGAATTCAGTGATCTTCCTGCCTTAACCTACCAAGGGCTGGGATTACAGCTATGTGCCACCATGCCCAGGTTTTGTTTGTTTTGGTTTGCTTTGGTTTGGTTTTTTGAAATAGGGTCTTGCTCTGTTATGCAGGCTGACCTTGAAATCACTAAGTGGCCCAGGCTGGCCTTGAACTCATGGCAGTCTTCCTGCTTTTGGCCTCCTGAGTGCTGGGATTATAGGAATGATCCACCACACCAAGCTAGTCATTGTTTTGAGCCTTCGTTAGCCATGGATGATAACATATACCCATCATCGTAGAAAGTACCAATAGACAGCATTAATATCTGCCTGTCATATCTTACTAATGATACATAACTTTTCATATTACAGATTATAAGCCATTTGAGGACACCACTTAACTCCTTTGTATCTGTGTAACGGCTTGTTCAAAAAGTTCTTAATAATATTTGTGGACTCACTGATAAGTATCAGAAGTTGGCTATAAAAAGAAGTTGGTGGGCCGGGGAGATGGCTCAATAGAATAAGCACTTCCCTGGCACGTGCAAGGGCCTGAGTTCAATCCCCGGTTCTGCAAAAAAAAAAAAAAAGAAGAAGTTGGCTATAGTAAAAATAAAAACAAATTTAGCTTTTACCAAAAATACTATTTCTAGGCATTTTGCACTTTAGATTGTTTGCTAAGCCCTAATGTAACAATCCAGTGCTATTTATTAAGCTACAGCATTTCAATCATGGAAAAGCATTTTTCCCAAGTAATATAAGTTATTCAGTTATCAAGGATACATGTCTGAGTACCGTCATACCAAGCAGCAGACTAGATTACTATGGTCAGCAAGACAGGTAGCAGTTTTTGCCTCCACAAGTGTTACAAGATGGTAGATTAGACAGCAGTGCATGATCATAATAAAATATGATGCACGTTAGAACATCTGTTGAGAGTGCTTAGCTTAGTCTAGAACCCAATGAAGTTCTGACCTTCAATTGGCACTTACGTTTGGCCTTAGACATCTTTGCTATCTCTCCTAATCCCTGCAATCCAATTGTGATTTTCTTTATTTAGTTGCCTGAGACCCGCCAACTCCTATGGTTGAGACGGTGTGCTGCTGGAACAGCAGGTCTCGTGTTCCTTACAGCTCTCTCAGGTAAGACTCTTCTCATTGGAGATGGCCTGGTTTTGCTTCACCTCCAGGTAGGATCTCTTGCCTAATGCTTTGCCTTTCTTCCTGCATCTTCCTGTTTCAATTTTCATAGTTGTCTCAGCATCTGCCTAGATCCAGCCTGTTCAGATTCAAATGTTGGCTTCACCATCTGTGACCTGAATGACCTCGGCAAGCCATAGAACTTTGGGCTTCAGTGACCTCCTTTGTAAAGTGGAAATGGTGACTATAGTATGAGTAACGTATATGACCTGCTTAGAGCAGGACCAGGCATGAAGCAAAAGCTACATAAAGGTTAGCTGTTGGTATTGTATAACACATTTATTATTTTTTATTTTTATTTTTTTAATAATTTTATTTTGAAGAATTAAAAACAAGAGCAAGAGAAACAGAAACAGGGTAACATGTAATAATACATACATTACAGATTTTCAAAACAAGAGTATCTGACAGTGATATATCATTATTGTCGAATCTGTTGCTCAGATTAACAGATACAGTTACACAAGTTGGGACATATCATTGAACATTACCATATGCTTTCAAGAAATCTTAAATTTTTGTTCTTTTCTCTCGTTTTCTTTTATTACCTTTTTTAAAAAAAAATTAGAGAGTATAGTGCTAATATGACATTAGAAATGGTACACATTTATAAGACCAAGATGACAGGTATTTCAAGCGTGGCGTTAGTATTACACATTGCTGTCCTCAGTGTAGTTGCTCAGTTCACAGATATCAGCATATAGAGTTAGGGTGAGAATTCTACCCATTAAATGCAATTTTCAAAAATCTGATGAAAATTCTTAGGACTGTTGCCTTAGCCATCTTGTATATATACATGTATGGTTTTGCCCCTACCTTATTTCCTAACTTTTCTCCTTTTTCTCTGTTATTATTAAATCCTTGAGTTCTGTTTCTTTCCATTTAACTGTGTCTGTTATACCTTTCAATTTTTATTTCTTCTGAGTTCTTACACTAGGAAGACAATACAATATTTACCCATGTATCTGGTTCATTTCACTTATGAATATAGCTTCAAGTTGCATCCACTTACCTACAAAGGCTTTGAATTTGTTTTTCTTTATAGCTGAGTAATACTCCATTGTATAAAAATGCCACTTCTTTTTCATCCATTCCTCAGGTGTTGGAAATTTTGGTTGTTTCCAAGATTTGGCTATCACAAATTGTGCTGCTATAAACATGGGTGCACATATATCACTATGATACATTGTTTTCATTTCTTTGGGAAAATTCCCAGAAGGGGAATAGCTGGACTGAATGGGATCTCCAGTTCTAGTTTTTTGAGGAGTCTCCAAACTGATCTCTATACTAGTTGCCAGTCTACATTCCCACCAGCATTGGAGAAGGGTTCCTTTTATTGCAGCCTCTCCAACATTTGTTGTTGGTTGATTTCTTTATGATATGGTAATTTTTTCTGGGGTGAGATGGTATCTCAATATTGTTTTAATTTGCATTTCTTGAATGGCCAGTGATCTGGAGCATTTTTTCATGTATTTATTTGCCTCTTGTATTTCTTCCTCTGAGAAGTGTGCATTCATCTCAGATGCCCAGTTTTAGATTGAGTCCTTAAATTTTGGGGCTCTACTCTTTTTTAGTT